ATTAGTTATTTTTTACTACTCTAAAATCCTGATTTGTATCCCTATAACATAAAAATGCTAAAACTGAAAAAAGGTGTCTTACATAAACTAGGACCTTCCACAGATATGCTCAAGACCTTTGCATAAAATGGCATAGCATTTGCAACTAACCTATGCACATCCTCTTAAAAACTTTAAATCACCTCTAGGTTACTTATTATATCTCATATAATGTAAATACTATATAAATAATTTGTATTTGAGAGACAGAAGGTGGGTTTTATTTTTGTTTGTTTTTGGTGGTTTTTTTTGGTACCGGGGATCGAACTCAGGTCCTTGTGCTTGCAAGGCAAGCGCTGGAACCACTGAGCTAAATCCCCAGCCCAAGAAGGTGGGTTTTAAAAAGTCATAGAAACAGTAAGTAAAGTGATTTGTTTTATAATTTATCTTCCATGTCCAGTTTGGTTAGCTTGTTATGCAATATAAGTGAAATATCAGGTTTCTATTCCTGTGCGATTTTTATCATTAAAATTAACAAAAAATGCAAAAAAAAATTTGTTGTTACACTATATTGTTTAGGGAATAATGACAAGAAAAAGTCTGTTCATGTTCAATACAGACCCAATCATTATGGGTCAAACTATTTAGTTCATGTTGGAAACATGTAGCTTTTTTTAATCCTAATATTTTTCATCTACAATTCCCTGAATCTATAGATGCAGAATCTACAAATACCTGGGTTCGAAGGTGGACTGTACTTACTGCATAAGACAAGAAGGGGAAAAGGGAGTATGCAAGTTCTACTATAATTAAGAAATCAAAGAAATAGAATAGTTCTTAATCACTTAAAGATATCAATGCTTAAAGAAACAAGTAGAAAAAACTTCAGGAAGAAAGACCAGATAAGGCAGCCTTGAATTGAGAAAGATCTCAGGGCTTAAACTTGTAGCTAAAGGTATTCTCAATGTTTGATTCTGTTATTACCTAGTATAGATATATAAAAATTGAAAAGCATGTGTCATATATTCTGCTTTGTATATTAAGAGTGCCAATGACATCACTTCTTGTATATAGTGAGCAAATTTACCTTCATGGCTTTAATAGAAAACTATTAGTGTATAAATTGAAAAAAGACTGAAAGTGAACTGTTACAGACTAACACCTTAGTTGGGATGACCATGTCATAACAGTTGAGAGTGAAGGGGTTCTACTAATAGCTTATACCACGAAAACAAATCCACACACTCAACCAGACAAGACAGGACCAGCTCATGCTACCTTTAATTTAAAAATAATAGCACTGGGTCAGGAATTTAGCTCAGTGGTGCTGCAAATGCCTCGCAAGCACAAGGTCCTGAGTTCAAACCAGGGTGCCAAAAAAATACAACAAGAGTAACAAAGGGTCTTTCTATTCTGATTTATCTTGCTCAATAACTGGCATAATTTTTGAGGACTGATACTGTTTAGGCACTGCTCCAAATATTATCAGACACTGCATGTAATACAGAAAATGAATAGGCAAAGAAACTGGGGTAAAATCATGTAAATCACAATAACACACTGGGCCTGGGTTTTAAATTTTTAAAATTAACATCAAATTATTATGTGATTATTAGTAATTTACATAGCTAAATTAAGACCATAACATCCAAAGTACTCAATGACAACTCCCAAAGTTAAATAAACGCTTTTAATAAAGTGGAGTCAATTCTTACAGAACGGTAATACAGCATAATGCTTAAGACTCTAAACCCAGCCCACCTATGTTTGAACCTAGGCTTCTATTATACGCAAGCTACTTAACCTTTCTATAGTTCAAATTCTTCCATTTTAAAATGGAAATAAAACAGAACTCTACTTTATGACTACTATGATGACTGAATGATTTATAAAGTGCTTAGAATAAAATATAACATTGTATAAATATGTATTTATTAAATGGAAGAATATAGGTGATAAGTCTTGTAAAGTCACCACTTCAAGTCAAAAGGCATAAAAAAACCCAGCATCCAACAACAACAAAAACTCAAAGCTAATACAACCCTTAAACCTTTAAAAACCTAACAATTCTCACAACGGGAGAAGTACAGGCCAAGAAAATTAGGTCGCACTAAATAAAAATATATGCACATCTCTCACCTCAGATCCATGCAGTATATATGCATGCGCCACATAGGGCAAGTGATTCATCAACACTACATTACTTTTCTTTCTCTTTTTTGAGAAAGAGAAGAGTTACAATCTTAAAATGACTCCAGTGGAATCACCCAAAAGCAATTTTTTTCTATTCACTCTGATGTCAATAATAGACAGAGCTTCTATTAAAAGATAAGCATGCAATGAAAACATAAGTGGGCAAACATCTTGTACCTGACAAACATTCTCCTTGAGTGCAGCTCCTCCACCTCGTTCACCCTGCATTTTTTTAGACGAAGACATCCCAGGATCATGTTCTATACCCTCCTCAATATTTTCCTTGGGGCTTGCAGCTGTCCTGTGAGTCATCAGTTCTCCCTTGCAGAGAAAAAATAATGTCCCCCATCTGCATTATTGATGTCTCCATCTGACCCCCTCCCTCTGGGCTGCTATTTGTCTAGCCATTAAGCACTTACAGATGTTCAGCCAATCACGTGGGCGGACTGCATGCAATGTTAGTTCTAACCCTGCTGTGATTGGGCGGGTAGTGGGCGCCTCATGCCCTGCAACTAACTGCTCTGAGGCTGTTCCACTGGAACTTTTTGAGTTGTTCCACTTAAAGGTTTCACTAAGGAAGAGAAAACATTCTTAAGTTTATTTGATTATTTATATGTCCTTCCAAGATCAGTGTTTCCTAAATAATGCCCCCATTGGGCATTCTATTTCAAATGTCCTGGAAACACTAGGCATCATAATTTGTGATGCTGTACTGATGGGTTATAATTCTTTTTCTGTAATTGTATTTAACCTGAGTTAGAAAGTGAGCCATGGCATGAATGACTGCACTGATGTGCTGCATGAAAACGGTTTCAAGTCTTTCTTTGTTAAAAGATGACACTTGTAAATTTTGTTTTAAAAGTAACCAATTGAGGGCTGGGGATAGCTCAGTGGTTCTGCCACCTGCCTTGCAAGCGCAAGGTCCCAAGTTTGATCTCCATTACAAAAAAAAAAAAAAAAAAATTAACCAATTGATCAAAAAATAAATAAATTCCTTCCTAATTGGAGCAGTATTAACTTTTGAAGGGTATTTTCTAAGTGAGACATTCTCTAAATTCACTCAGATCATATGGTTACTTGATACTGTGCTCTCTGGTTTAAAAACAAATTTACTAATAACAATTATTCATTTCACCTGACAGAGCGCAGGATGTGACCTTTTTAAAAGGCCATACCCACAGCTACAACATGTGACTTATTCTTGTACTTCAGGATTCTTTATAACTATCAGCTATTTCAACAGAATACTATTCAGAAGTAAATGCAAGGGAGAGGGACATGGCCTCTACAATGAAAAGTAGCTGGTCTTTGAAAGGTCAAAAGATTAGGAACTGAGTAATACCTCTGAGCCTGTAGTCTCTTTTGATGAATCATCATTTTTCACTCTTTTACACTGCACCTTGGCAGTAATATGTCTCTGTCGCTTTCGCTTTCTTGGCTTGTCAAATATCTTGGTTGCACCTGTGACAGGAAAACAAGTGTTACCTAATGACTAGTCACACGCATATCCAAGGAGTCCTATCTTTAAATAAAGGGATCTCACAGCTATGATATGTTAAATTTATTATTATTATTCTTGGGTTTTTGTTTTGTTTTTTGAAATAGGCTCTTGCTATAGGGGTATAGTTGAGGCTGGCCTCAAACTGGTGGCAATCCTCCTGTCTTACTCTCCTGAGTGCTGGGATTACATGCGTGCACCACACCTGGCATATCAACTTTAAAACTCATTAAATTATCTGGGTTTTCATGCAAAAAAAAGAAGAGACCTATCCAGTTATTATATAACTAGTTGAGGAAATAACCACACATAAGTTCTGCCTCACATATTAAACAGTAAATGTATAGATTATTAAAGCAATTTCATTTCACAAGACTTTAGATACAAAATGTATATACTAGTCAAGAAAATTTATTAATCCCTAGAGTCAAAGATGTGAGACAATAATAAATTATATCACTGTATGATTTCAAATTAAGTTGGAAATATATAAGATGTGGTTTATAGAGGAACAAGGGGAAAATTCCCCAAAACATTTAGTGACTTGAATTAGGATATTCATCCAGTTGCAGCATATCCTCAAATATCCAAAGTATAAAATGAATATGTGACTTTGACAAGTTCAGAAAAAGAAACTCTAGTCCAGTGGTGGTGAACTTGTGGCACATGTAATGAAATAAGTTGTTTGTATCATTGAAAGCTCTATGTTTGCCATCTATACTCTAGTCAAATCCCTCAGTTCCCAGGACACACATTTCAACTCCTTGCTATAGAGATACCAAGAGGAACCTACATAGGTATTTCATAAAATGTTCCAATATATTTTTTGCTAGGTATCAATATGAATAGCAGATTTTTGAAGACTGCCTGCTTCAGTGCTATCTTTTTTTAAATCTGGTTTTTTTTTTTTTTTTGGTACTGGATATCGATCTCGGGTCCTCGCGCTTGCAAGGCAGGTAGCGGAACCACTGAGCTAAATTCCCAGCCCTAAGTCTGTAGTTTTTATCAGGGGATGTAGCTCAGCAACACAGTGCCTGCCTGTCAACTGTGGGGTTCTCAGTTCAAGCCACGGTACCAAAAACAGAACAAAACAAAAACAACTATTTGTACATTTTAAAAATAAATTTAAAACTATAAAATTTAATTGTAAAAAAAAATTTTCGAGATGGCATCTTGCTGTGTAGTTCAGGCTGGTCTTGAGCTCATTATGCAGCCCAGTCTGGCTCCAAACTTGCAGCAACCCTCCTGTCTCAGCCTCCCAAGTGCTGTGATTAAAGGCCAGCACTACTATACCTGGCTTAATATTATAATTTTTTTGTGGGGGGGGGTTAGCTGTTTCTTTCTAATAAACTGACTCTTACATTCCTAAACTTCTGAAGTGGCTAACAGATGATACACAGATTCTCTCTTCATACTCCTGCTTGAAACCAATAGCTTCAGAAAACTGCTGATCTTGATTAAGGGTCAAATTCAGTGCTATTTTTTCTGACTGACAGAGTTAGGTCAGTGGTGCTGCCAAGCACAAGGTCCTGAGTTCAATCGCCAGTACCAAACAAACAAAAAAGAGTTGCTCTTATCAAAGCTGCTGACAGTCTAGGCCTCCTTAAGAGTTAAAATGATGACCGACATAAAGACCCTTGAAGACCTTGTGCATGGTAGGTCAACACTATACCAATGTGTTACATTCCCAACACATGAGATTAAAATACTCAGGAGCTACCTTTAGATGAAATTTATAAAGGATAAAATTCACGTGGTTAAAAAAAAGTTCATGTGGTAGTTTTTACAAAAAATAAATATAAAAGAAAGAGCTCATATTATATTAGAAGTAGTTTATTTTAAAAGCAAACTAACCAACCAGTGGGATTATACTTGCCTGCATGATTATAATTAACAAGTTGCTAGATTTGTTAGAAAATTTTATAATCATGAATCACAGTAAAAGAACGATGCATCAAAAACCATAAGGATGCATCTAAAACAATAAGAACTATAATCCATTATCTTTGCAGGACGATTAGATCTGGTGAAGTGTTCTTAAATTTGGAATAATATTTCAAGAATGATATCAATAAATACCTTGGGCACAAAAATTATAAAATAGTAGAAAAAGGCAGCATGGAGAAAATCTGAAGTAGAAAACAGATAATATTTAACTCTTTTTTAATGCTTTAGATGGATTAGAGGTAAAAACCCTTACCAAAAGCCCTGGTTGAGTAGACAATCTATGAATATCCTACATGTCATGGAATGAAGAACTATTCATCCTTCCTAAGGAAAGAACCAACATAATCAAGTAGATGTTCCAGAAGATAGCTTCCAATTTCATATGGAAGATTCCAAATCCCTTAAGGGACAACCAAAATGAAATAGATTTAATATATACTTTTCAAGCATAAGCTAACTGGCCAACAGTTATAGAGTTGATGAAAGAAACTAGGACAATCTATGAAAGACTGACTTAGGTCATTTACACCTCAACTGAAGATTTTTTTTTTGTTTGTTTTTTTCTTTTTTTGTGGTACTGGGGATGGAACGCAGGACCTTCAACTTGCAAGCCAGGAGCGGTACCACTGAGCCAAATCTGCAGCCCAAGATTATACATTTTCTACCCTATGGAAATAAAAATTTAAAGCCAGGAAATCAATGATAGTCTGGAGATGCAGACTAATAATGATATTCAGGAACTGATTTTTCTTTATTGTTCTAAGTATTTCCTTACTCAAATATAATTGTAACTTCAGTTAACCTGTAACAGATAAAGCCAAAAGTGACTAAAGAATTTTCTGGTGTTGTACATAATTTAAAGAAGTGTATTTTAGGGCCAGAGATGTACATCTGCAGTGCCATGCCTGCCTGGCAAGCACAGGGTTCTGAGTTCAACTCCTGTTATCCTCCACCCCCAAAAAATATATTTTAGAAAAATAATTCTCCAAAGTTCAAACTTATTTCTGCTTTACATCTAGATATCAAAAATACTCACTTCCACCAAATTCTTTCGAATGAGATGCAGCACACGATTCAGTAATGCCATTCTCCAAATGACCAGCTTCGTAACTCTATAAAAAGTAAAAAAGCAACATTATTTACAAAGAGTAGAAAATAAACCTTTACATTCAAATCTAAACTCTCTACTGCCATAGATACCAAATTCTAGCCACTTTTGGAAATTCAAAGAACAGTACAGTAATAGTAAAGATTTAAAGAGAAACATCAAGGGGAAGACTTTTTTTTAAAAAAGAAAGAAGGCTAGAGTTGTAATTCAGTGGTAGAGTACCAGCCTTGCACACCCCAGGTCCTGGGTTTGACTTTAGCGCTGCAAAAAATGTTTTAAAAATAACAGCTTACCCATAATCTATATATATAAACCAGATACAGAACATTCCCCTGGCCAAAGTGGGAAAAGAGGAATAGGTACCAAGAGACCCACCAAGCTTGATTCTATTCCACCCTACACTGTATTTAAAATTCACCTTCCAATAAATAAATACATAAATTCAATTCCTAAAACTGTATTTATAAAAATTAGATTTGACACTGACTTATTTACTTCAACAATGAATATTAAACAGCTCAGAAGCATAGACTGTCCTTATAAAATGTGTTTCCAGATAAATCTAAAGTAACATTAAAACTCAAACTCAAGAACCTACACATTTTATTTACCCACTGGTGTTTGTATAACTTAAGTCTATTCCAAGAAAATATCCTCTCCTAACCCTAACCCTAACTGTACTATATACTGAAGAAGTACCAATAAACTCAATTAAAAAAAATAAAAATAAAATCATAAGAATATAACTTTCTTCATATTTAGTGCATAACAAATTCTGATGAGGTCAAATAAAATGTAAGTGTAAATACCAGGTGCCCAGTTAAAGGAACAAAACGCTCCTGGCAAAATAAAAAATTAGATTTACACAATTAAAAAAAAACTATCTATATAATTTAAATAACCAATTTATAGTTTATTGTTTTAACAGTGAGATAGATGCAATGATGAAAAATAATTACAATGTTCCTAAAACTACTCAGAATAATACAGAAACATTCTCATTTCTAACTCATCAATTTTATAAATTAAAATAGAAACAACATGGATTATTATACTACCCAAATAAAATTCTACCTGCTTTGTTCAGAATGAAAGAACCACAAAACTTTTTGCAGGATGTAAGATTTCAGTAATTTATATATTTATTCTGTTGTGTATATTAAGCCACATTCTATTTCAACAGATAATTCCTCCCTTTCTAACCTACTGATTAATTAATCTACAGACAGAGTAGCTAGACTGCAAAGATATAATCTAGTTTGAACAGGAATGACATATTATGCCTCACAATAAGCGGGATCTCAATGATGAAACTGACTAGGTCAGGTAGCAGTACCAATTCCTAGAACAAACATGGATCCACTTTTCTCTAGCCTGGTGCTAGCAAACACTAATCCTAAAATTTTTTTCTTGTTCTAATTCATATAATACCCATCCCCATCCCAGAAAAGCTAAAATTCAATAATGATATACAATTAAAAAGAAATTAGGAAGCTGGGTGTGGTGGCACATGCCCATAATCCCAGCTCTAGGGAGGCTGAGGCAGGAGGATTGCTGTGAGTTGGACACCAGCCTCAGCAACATAGTGAGTTCTAGGTCAGTCTCAACTACGTAGTGACCAAAAAACAAACAAACAAAAAAAAACAGAAATTAGGAAGACAGTAATAGGGCAGAATTACCAATGATTTTTTTTTTTTAATTGGCCCTCTATATGGTGTGAAAATTCACTTCAAAGCTCCACTTCAAAAATTCAAACTGGAGATTATGAAATCCTGGCCAAACCATTCCAAAACATCCTGCACACTTTGATGGTTACTTCACAAAGATCTAGAAATGGCCAGCTGACAGATACTATGAGATTCAACATCACAAATCATAATCATTAGAAAAATAAAAACCATAATGAAATATTAATACTTAGGGGATGAATAAAGAACTAAAATTGGGGCCAGGGACTTAGCTCAGGGGTGCCTTGCCTGCCTTGCAAGAACAAGGTCCAGAATTCAATCCCCAGTACCAGGAAAAACAAACAAAAGAACTAAAGTTGTTACGCATATGTAACAACTCCCTACAATAAATGTAATCACTATATACAGCAAACATGTACTGATAAAAACAAATGTTAATACTCATCAGAATGTCTAAATTTAAAATGACAACAAATGGGGGTGGTTTACACTGTTGGTAGGAATATGAATTTAGTACTGCAACTACGGAAATATGGAAGTTCTTCAAAAAGCTAAGACTGGCCCACTGTATCACTATTTGTAGAACTCAAAGGAATTACAGTCAGCATACTATGAAGACACCTGCATACTTATGTTCATGTTGCACAATTCAAAGACAAGATACAGAAATATGGAGTATATGTGCACACACACAGAGGAGTATTATTCAGCCATTAAACAGAATAAAATGGTATAATTTGCAGAAAGAACATGGAATTGGACATCCTCATATTAAACACAATAAGCCAATCTCTCAAAGTATTGTATGCTTTCCTCAAATGTGTGAACTCTATTTAAAAAAATAAAAAGCACAAAAGTAGAGGGGAGATTATACACATAAGGGAGTAAGGTCAAGGGAGATGAAGTATAAAGGAAGGTCAGAGGATGATCAAAATGTTATGTGCATGTATCAAAATACAGTGAAATCTGGTATTTTGCAAAAGTAATAAAAACTAATAAAAAAATAGAAAGGCTGGAGGCACGTGATCACAGTTCAATTTTTAAAAATGACAAGTCAAATGTTAGTAAAGAACAACTCAATTTCTGACCCAATACAAGTAGAGTGTAAAGTACTGCAACAACTTAAGAGAATCATTTGACGGTTTAAAAATTAAACATGCAGGGCCAGGAATTAGGCTCAGTGGTTCCACCACCTGCCTCACAAGAACAAGGACCCAAGTTTGATCCCCAGTACCAAAAAAAGAAAAAAATTAAACATGCCTAAATCAGCAATTTTTTCCTTAGATATTTACACCAAGAAAAATACATTATGTCCACAAAAAGACTTTAAAGAATACACCAGTCTTATTAACAGCCTAAATGTGAAAAAGACTCCAACATGCATCACCAGGGAGAAAAGAAAAGCAAATTGTGACATAATCATGCAATCATATGCATTACTAAGGAATAAAAAGGATTAAGCTACATTATTGTAGATGTATTTAAAAAAAGAGATGGTGAGGCCGGGCATGGTGGTGCATACCTGTGATACCAGCACTTGGGAGGCTGAGGCCCGAGGATTGCTAGGAGTTGGAGGCCAGCCTGGGCTACAGAGTAAGTTCAAAGTCAGGCTCTGAACTACAGGAGAAGACTCTGTTACATAAAAACCGGGGAGCTGGGGGTATTTGGGACTGACTGAATGAATGAATGAATGAAAAAAACTGGATTAAAAGAAAAAGCAACACT